GCCTGCTTCCTCGGGTGCATAGTGTCGGACGCAATTTGAAGTTGCAGAGCCGACGTGGACGGCGGTGCCGACTCTTGCATACAGCAACTGGCCGGGTTAGACCATCGCAAAAATCGAGGCCCCTGAACAACATCCAAATTCGAGAGGTCCAACACCGTACTCTCCTCCTCATACGGCTCCAGCGTCTCATCTAAATTATAAAAAATAGAACATGAAAATAAAGAAATCATCAGAAACTGTTAAGATTAAAAAAAGAATTTCAAATATCACTTGCTATAATAAAAAATGATTAGGATCAAATAATACTTGTTCGTCAAAAAATGTATTTGGAAGTGTGACCTTCTTCAGTTCCCAGTGAACCAGCCGTGGTGGACGTCTCACCGAGGTACATGCTCCACATGCACGACCTAATGCAGGGATTGCCTCGTAGCACCATACTAGAAACGCCCAGTGAAATCCGTAGATATGATACTTCATTTTATTGTACTGGGCCGTCTGCAAGTAGTCGAACATGTACTGAAACGAGTAACTCCCCCATGGGAATTTCTCCCACATCTGGTCTTCCTCAAGCAAAGTCCACCAACAGGTATCAATATACCTAGGCTTCACGTGGTCATGGGGAATGATGAAGAACATCAGCATTAGCATCTTCGCCACTCTCACTATCACATCCCGAGAGTGACGGAACTGCCCCGCCTTGAAGTCATCACACAACTGCTGCATAGTGATCCGCTTGCCTTTATATTTCTCATAGAAAATCGATGATGGAGGAGGAGGAGGAGGCGCTGAGTTCGGGTCAAACGCAGACGATCCAAAAGCAAGCCCGGCGAGCACAACATACTCATCGGCGGAGAATCGTGTAAAATGGTTACCAATACGGAACCACATCTCGTTCGGTTCCTGACCGACACGAGTCACCTCGCGCGAAAGTACCCCATGCATAGCCTTTGCAGATACATTGGCCTTATCATCAAACTGGAGGAACGGACCAAAGACCGAGCCCTGGAAAGCAGTCAAGGCCCCTTCAACGTGGCCCAACTCGTTCTTGATATCAGAACATATAGATTGCCGGCTGTAAACGTTGATTTTCAGCCCTTGATAATTACCGATCAGTTTCGGTCTCTTGTACGACCACGAATCTTAAACAAATTGCATTGTTGTTGTTATTGTTACTTATTCAAATCAAATTACTTATACATTATCAAATAAAAACAACTATTTCTCAACTATTAAAGCAGGTGAAATTAAATAACTTAAATTAAATAATTGCAACAAATGGAAGTTACCTCTCCAA